GCCCCGCCCACCCTCCCCTGCCCCAGTCTGTCCTATATTTCCGTGTTTTGCAGCCCAGCTGATTCACACGGCACCGCGGATTGTAATGCCTCAGCCGTTTCACTCACCGGGGCTGCAGCAGGAGGCAAGTTTTAGAGCTGAAAATGGGCGGTTTTTCAAATGCTGCGTGCGCGCGCAAAGTGCGCACTTACCAAACCGGTTGTTGCACTGGTCGAATCCCACCCCTGCTTAACCTGCAGTGATTCACTTAGCACCTGGGGAGAGAAAGGTCATAAGATGGAGCAAAACTCACTCAACAACGCTTAGCCATGCTTAGAAACGTCAGGCACAATGGTGGCCATAATTCGAGGACTTCCTGTAGTAGTGGAGAAGTAAGGAGACGGTTACTTTCCTGGTGTGGAGACAATAACTTGGTCCTCAACATCAATGAGAACAAGGAGCTTGTAGTGGACTATAGAAGGAACTGATCCGACATCGGAGCCATTGCTTATCAATGGAGACCGAGTAGAGCAAGTGGCCAGATTTAAGTTTCTGGGTGTTGCCATCAAAGAGGACCTGACCTGGGGTGCCCACATTGCAGTCCTGGTCAAAAGGGTCCAGCAGAGATTATACTACCTGAGGCTTCTCAGGTAAAGAACAACAGAATGAAAAACTGCTGGTGAACTTCTACTGCTGCACCATAGAGAGTATCTTAACTTACTGCGCCTCTGTATGGTTTGCCAATTGCACAGGGGTAGATAGGACAGCACTCCAGAGGGTGAACATCATTGCCCAGAGGATCATGGGTTGCCCTCTCACCTCTCTGGAAGAGCTTTCTAGCTCCCGCTGCCTTAAGAAAGTTCAAAACATTCTCAAAGATCCATCTCATCCTGGGAACCCCCCCCCCTTTTTTTGAACTATTACCATCTGGCAGACGGTACAGGATACTAAAAACAAGGAGAAATAGGCTGAAAAACAGCTTCTATCCCAGGGAAGGAACTCCATTGAATTCTACTGTATAGTGCAATATTCATGCAATACCAGGGGTTTTCAATTCAATTGTATAGAATGTGAAGGGTGTGTGTTTGTGTTTATTTTCATAGTCATAATGTACACTGAAGATGGTATTTAATTTCGTTGTACGAGGTGCCATGACAAGGAAGTAAACTAAACTTTTAAAAAAAAAACCTACCAGGTTGAAGTGTAGGTAACTGGCTAAAAAACATTGACCGCAGTATTTCCTTTTCATTATTCCTTGGAACTCAAGTTCGACGTTGCTAAACACTGACAATTATTGTTCTTGGACCAAAAGTTCTTCCTTTCTTGCGTTTGGTGTGTTGGAGAATTTATTTAGCTCTGGAAGATTCCAGTTAAAACTTCCAATGTGTTTGACCTTTCGGAGTCAAATAATACAAAATAGTATCTTTTGGACTCTTTCCCAGCAGAGGGAAGCCAGAAATAGATGCACGTTCACCCCTGTTACAGGTAGCCTTTGACTGACAGCTGTTTGTTTAGTGGCCATTTGAAGTTAGAATAGCACAGGAGGAGGGAAGAAAAAGGGATTGATGCGGAAAACAAAAAGATCGTAAAATCAGATCCGGCCATAGAATGACTTGCTTTACAAACTATCCCGACTTATGACCAAAGTCGTGTTTCTCGCTTATGGTTTTAAGTTGAGAGCTATTTGTAAAATAAGGGCAGAGAGGGAGCCCTCAGCTTACGACTGCAGCTGGGCCCAGAGTTTCAGTTGCTAGGTGAGACAGTTGTTAAATGAATTTGATTTTCAGCACAAAAGTGTGATGACCCAAAGGGGCATAGCACAAAGGCAACACTGTCAGATAATCAGTAAGAGTCCCTTTATTAGTGCCAACTTTGCCCCCAATGTCCTGGTTACCTTCTGGCTGGAGAAAAACTCCCCAGGAGCAGCCTTTGGCGACAGAGAATCAAGTCCAAAACATGGTCAACACAAACTGTAACTTAGTCCAATCAAGGCAAAATGAGGTCATTAGTCTGATCGGGCAGGCGCAAGAATTCCAGACTTCCAGAGGTGAAAGCATGGCAATAACACAACATGGTTGGGGAGAAGCCAGGAACACAGATAAGCAAAGTCAACACAAGATAAACTCACGTTTGCTCCCAGCAGCTGCCTCACTTAACATGCATCACTTTTAAACTTTCATTCCTAGGTGTGGCTAATGAAGGGAATCAGGGCCCTTTCCTCCCCTGTAAGCCACACAACCAACGTTGCTCCCTTCTTCATTCCTCCCTGCGTGCCCTAGGATGAAGAGGGGGTGGGCCTGGGTCTTCCTCTGAACTCCCTCTCCCTTGTTCTATCTCTCCCCTGCTCTGCCCAGTCAGACTTTGCCGTTCCCCAGTTTCCTCCACAGCTAACGGAGCCACGCTCCTACTCCCTGTCGGCTGTTTTGTCTTCCTCCTCGGATTCAGAATCCGACAGGGGCATGACACAAAAGTAAAAGAAATATCTCTTTGTGGATTTCCCCAAGCATGGAGCTGTGGGGGTGGGAGGGGGAACCAATGAAATACATTCTATAACCCAGGAAATACAGGGGTAGTCCTCGGGTTATGACCACACAATTGAGCCTAACATTTATGTTGCTAAGTGAGACGTTTGAATTTCACCCCATTTTATGAACTTTCATGCCATCGTTAAATGAATTGCTGCCGTGGTTAAGTTAGTAACATGGTTGTTAAGTGAGTCTGATTTTGCTTGTCAGAAGGTCGCGAAAAGTAAATGCTGTGACTCCAGGGACAATGCAACTGTCATAAATGCAAGTCAGCTGCCAAGTGTCTTGAGTTTCGACCACGTGAGCGTGGGGGTGTTGCAATGGTCGTAAGTGTGAAAAACTGTTGTAAGTCACTTTTTTCAATGCTGCCCTAACTATGAATGGTCACTGTTTTAAGTTGAGGGCTACCTGACCATGTTGGTGTGGATGGGTATGTAGGTAAGAAAAGAGCCATTGTCCTCTGGATTTCAGCTCTCAGGCAGAACGCTCCAGCGTGGGTCTCTGACAATTCACTTCGGCCAACTCACCACGGCCAACTCACAGCAGTCAACTTGTCATGGCCAACTTACAGTGGTCAATTTGCCATGGCCAACTCACAATGGTCAACTCACAATGGTCAACTCGCCATGGCCAACCCACAATGGTCAACTCACTATGGCCAATTCACAATGGTCAATTGATCATGGCCAACTCAATGGTCAACTCACTACAGCCAACTCACAATGGTCAATTTGCCATGACCAACTCACAATGGTCAATGGCCAGTGGTCAATTTGCCATAGCCAATTCACAATGGTCAACTCGCTATGGCCAACTCACAATGGTCAATTTGCCATGGCCAACTCGCTGCAGGAAAACTCACTGCAGGACAAGGGTTACACTGATATCAAATAAATGGTGGAATAGATTGATTAAAGGAAGGATTACAAAAGGAGGGACAAAATGAACGACAAAAATTAAAACCATTTTTAAATTCTAAATAATTACATTGAATTGATCAATTGTCCTGCGGCGAGTGGCCATGGCGAGTCCTCCCACGGTAAGTTGGCCGTGATGAGTTGGCCTCATTGTGTTGGCTGTAGCAAGTCGTCCCATTCCGTCCAGAGTGTATCCCAAAGAAAGGGCAGAGAAATGGCGTCTTCACATCGAATTGCACACTCTCTCTCACACACACACAAACCCAGGGAAACACACGGGGGGGGGGGGGGAGCCCACCGTCTGTTCCGACGGTCGTGGTAACTCCCCCTCCCAATTTTTGCCATCTGCTCCGGCTTTCCTGGCTTTTGCCGGCAGCTCCGGCCGAGCTAGGAAGGGGGGGGGGGGGCAGGAGGACTGAGACTTTGCCACAAGAAAGAGGCCAACGAAACAAACCTAAGACGATGCAAATTGCTGATCTTCTTCTTTCGTCTTAGAAAGAGCTGCAACCGCAAGTGTGTAACTCAAGCTGTTTACCGGGCATTGTTACCTCCAGACAGCCGGGGTTACACCCTGGTGATTATCCTGATTAACAGTGGCACCTCCGGCAGTCAAAGGGGACTCACAGGTTATCTAATTTTAGAGGATCACAGAAGAACTCTGTAGCTGGTTCATCCTGGAAAACCATGGTTTAAAAGAGACAGGCCACTCTTTGGAAGACAACAAAGCCCATATTTTGTACAGAGAGGATTGCTGGTTTGAAAGAAGAGTCGAAGAGGCCACCTAGGTCCAAATTATATGAACAACTAGACACAAGCGCACACACACACCCCGCATGCCATCACTTGCTAAACAACTAATTCCCCCAACACTGTCAAACTTTTTACTAAGACTGTATTATGATGATTTTTCTCATCCTTCTTATTACCTGTCTCCTTCCCCTTATGACTATAACCGTGTTGCTTGTGTCTTTAGGATTTATATTGCTTTATTTAGTTTCCTAGGATGATTTGATTGCTTATTTAGTATCCTATGGCTATCACTAAGTGTTGTATCTTATGCGTGTTGATGGATGTATTTATTTTATGTACACTGAGAGCTTATGCACTGAAGACAAATTCCTTCTGATTCCAATCACACTTGGCCAGTGAAGAATTCTACTCTACTCTACTCTACTCTACTCTACTCTACTCTACTCTACTCTACTCTACTCTA